AAAAAAAAAAAAAAAAAAAAAAAAAAATCTAAAAGCTGGAAAAAAAGTAAATCAACAGAAAAGTAGAAAATAAAACAGAAGAAAGTCTGCCTGAAAATAGAAAAAACAGACAGCTGGATAAAAGGAGAAAATACTAAAATATCAGGGCATCATCTCCATATGATGTAGTTGACTAACAGTAGTTCCCCTATAGAAAAAAATAAAAATAAAAAAAGAGAGATAGAGTTTGTTTCTTGAAATTTTTTTATAAAATTAAAAATTACCTCAAAATTTCTTCAAAATTCACACAGTGGTCTCCTGATTGAAAGAGCAATTGAACAGTACAATGAATTGAGTCAAACCTATGTGTCACCATGAAATTCCAGAACAGGGGATAGAAAGAAAAGTATCTAAGAGTTTCCAAAGAGACAAAACAAGTAACAAACAAAGGGATTAAGTTCAAAATGCCACTGAATCTCTCAAAAGCAATCTGGGAAGTTAGAAGATAAATGTATTCAAAATATAGAGGTTAAATTCTTTGCACTGAAAAATTCTGTCAGGAAAACTATTAAAATAGTGTGAAGAATAAAAAGATAGTGTGAAGATACATTATTATGTATTCTCAGTCATGAAAGAACTCAAAAATTCACCTCCTGAACCAAAACAAGGGCTAACTCAACAAAATTAGGGAAACTAAGAAGAAGGAATACAGCAATGCAGGAGAAAGAAATCTAAGACCATGGAAAAATAGTCCAAGGATAAGAGCTTTACAAAGGCATAGAGAGCAACCAGTCCAGATTGCAATGAGAATAAAAGGTTCTGAGGAAAATACAAGAACAGGACGTTTACAACAAACATGTTGACAGTACTTTATGGGACCCCAGAAAATTTTGGGTAGGATTGTGAAAAATCTGTGAAAGATATTAAAGAATCCAAAAACCAGAAATGAGTATTGGTAATCGCAATTTTCATATTTAAGTTATTCAGTTCTTTTAAGCCCTACTTTTAGACAGCTCTTCCACTATAATCTTCGTTATTAAAAAAGTCAGCAACTCTTAAAATTACTAACACCACTTTTAAATTAGCAATTCAATATCATATAAATTACCATATCATAGTTTCTGTACTCATCCTCTCTAAAAGCAATTTTCATGGAGATGTCCTTCTACCAAGACACATTATGGTTTGACAATGTAATTATTTCATTTATATTCATTTCATACATTTCCACTTTTATCACCTGAAAAAACTCATATTTCAAGAAAATTTCAAGGTGTCATATAATTGAGACCTATCTTCTCAGGCAACATGCCATTTAATCTACTCTAAGGAACATGCTGGTCTTTTCCTAGTCTGCTCTCAGGAGTTTAGAAAAAGTGAAATCTATTGATTTTAGATCATTACACATATACCTGCTAATTCTTACACTGTTTTCACCCTATTTAAGTAGTATAAAGCCATATTTAACCTTAATTCTTCTTTTCTAGTCCACTATAAAAATAAAATATATTAATATATACCATAATTGTAGGTCATTAAAATGTGAGATAATATTTTTTTCTCTAGGCCAAATACATTAATGATCATTTAAAGGTTTGGATTTCCTCACTTAACATTTTTTTTCTTTGATTATATTCTCTTTTCAGTTTCCTTCAAACTGTGAAGACAAATTAGAATCTAATTTTTCATTAAGCATGTGGTTTACACAGAGAAATATAATTTATCTGTAGCATTATTTATTTACATGGTTGGTTGGTTTGTTTGGTACAGGGGATCAAACTTGGAACTCTGCACTTGCAAGGCAGGCAGCAGAACTACAGAGCTAAATCCCCAGCATCCTACATGTCTTATAAGTGATAAATGAATAATAAATGATGTTTGATATATTCATGCTTAGGTTACATTAAAATATTCTAAAGTTCTCATTTGTGCTAGGTATTATGGTATCTATAGAATTATTAATATTGTAAATGGCCAAGAATACTAACTTTCACTGAATTTCATCTGGTATCAAACTGTGATCTCATCTATACATTAAAGTAGCTATATTTAAAAACATTTATGGGATATTTCCAATAGTCATATCTAAGGCCAAAACATACTTTATATGTCTTTAGGGATTATAACTCATTAATTAGTTATATGCCCATCTGGAGGGTACAAGACAGACTCTAACAATTACAGAATTTATGTATTAAAATATTTGGAAGGGCAGAGAAAAAAATTTCTTAACACTCTCATTGCAGTCTGGACTGGGTGCTCTCTGGGTCTTTGTAAAACTTATTCTTGGACTGTTTTTCCATGGTCTTAGATTTCTTTTCTTCTGCACATGTGTAAAGAGAATGCTATTACTTAGTATGTGTTACCAAAATTAATTTTAACTGATGTATATTTGACTAAGATTGAACCACTTATGAAGTATCTTAATGTGATTTTTAATATGGTATTTAAATTTTTTAAATTATTACAGTAAAAGACAAATTGCCATTAATCCCCTCAAAAATACTCTCTCCCTCACCTGAATATCCCACTGCTCTTGCCACTTTATGAAGCAGTAATGAAAAATCCTCTTGCATGAGTGTCTTTAGTTGTGCTGTCATGGCTGCTTCGATGTAATGAATAAATTCAAACCTCACTTTCATCTGTAATCCCAGCACTTGGGGAGGCTGAGGCAGGAGGACTGCTGTGAGTTCAAGACCAGCCTGGACTACAAAGCAAGACCCTTCTCAAGAAAAAAATAAAATAAAATAAA